CAGGAATGGTTTAGATTTGTTTTAAGCAGTCTTTGATTTGCAGTACCCAAGAGCCTTCCCTAGATGAGCTTTACATCAGCTAAGTATCAGACTTGGTGCTGTTTCTGTATCTTAAGTAGTAAGAACTCACTGAAGTCAGCAGGTCTTGAGTTCCTTTAATATCTTCGTCAGCTTGCTTGATGGCTTTTTCAGCTGCATTTTGAGCTTTTTCAGCTTCTTCCAGTGCTACTTTCACCATGTCTGCAGTGACTTTAACATCTGTTGCACCTTTGCTGTGGAGCAAAACTATGTTAATGCTAAAAATGCTTTTGCTTCGGAACTGGAAAAAGAACTAGTCATATACTGCAAAGGGCTGGTTTTGCCCCTTAGTGAAGGAATGAGAATCTGCACTGCAGTAAGTTAAACTCCACATTTTCTGATACAATGAAATTAAAGTCTTGTTCACACTATTGGTGATGGAAAACAGCTAATACAGGATGGGGTTTTGCATACCTTGCTTTTTTAGCTTCCTCCAGTAGCATTTCTGCCCTGGCAATGTCTCCAGCGCTCTGCTGCAGAATGACTTCAACATCAGAAAGGCTTTCTACACGCTCACGAATATCTTCTGTCAGGGCTTGCAGCTGCTGGGGAGTGCTTGGCATCTCCATGTTCAGCACTTCATTAGCCACTGCCTCGATGCTGTCCAGATCAGCGCTGTCTTCTAGTAGATGGACAAAGATGTAAGTAAAAGCTTCCCCCTGTCAAGTCTCAGTACTCAAACTTTTTGTTTACTTAAGAAGGAAAATCATGGGAAAACTTCGTCCCCCAAACTTAACAGAAAATCAAGGTGTTAAAACTGCTTCCCGAGGGTGAAACTCCTCTCCCTGAGAGGCCCAGCAGGCGCGTAGGCCCTGCTGGCATAGCTCTCCTGGAAGCCATTTGAAGATCTTGATGATTAGCTACACCATGCTGGGGGTTGGGAGACGCAAGCCCACAAGAAAGGAAGCCAACAGCTGCACGTAAGTGTATTTGTGCAAACAGGGAAGGAGTGGGTTTGCTGTGCTGCCGCTCACTAGGGAGCAGAGCCCTCATTTAACCTTTACCTGCTTTCTTACAGAGAGAGAGAAACTCACAGTTCCTGACTTTCCTTCCCTTTAATAGTACTTTGTCTGTCTAGCCAGCGCTTATGAACACACTTGGCAAGCTACAGCAGTACAACAGCCTCAGCTGAAACGAACACAACGTGTCACAGTTTGCTCTCGCTTTCCTATTGTCTTGGTTCTCGTTTCCAGATTTCATCATACACACTAAGTCTGGCTGGAACAGGGGGAGGGGGACACAACTATTGCGTTACTCCTTAGAGGATGATTCAGGGCTAAAGTTATTTTCACAAACGTAGAATTAAAATGTAATTTAAATGTAAGGTTTTTACGCATTAGGAAGTCTCTAATCTGTTTAATAAGATTTCTCAGATCTTCATTGCTTCTGTCCACTTGTTCTTTTGTAGCATTGGTTTTGAGCAAAACGGCTTGTGCATTTTGTTTTGCTTCATCAGCTCTCTGTTTTGCCTCAGAAACCTAAAGAGAGGAAAATGGAAGGCTTGATTGCATATTTGCTTGTGCTTTAAAGCTTATTTTAAAACAAAAATTCAGGTGGAGTCAGAGGTAATAGTAATGAGAAATGCTTTTTCTCATAAAACTCACAGAACGCTTTTAAAAGCTGGCCATGAGCCATGCCACCAATCCTAGGTTAAACAACTCAGGCTAATGTTTACAGTTATCCGTGAAGCTTCACTTTAGCAAGCTCCTTTTCTGAGGATCTTTACAAGCATGAAAAGAAGTATTTTGAAGTAAGCCAGGCACGTACTTTGTCAATTAGTGTCTAAACTTCTGTTACAACCAAGAGAATTTTTTTTAAATACCTAACAATTGATCTAGCATATTACCATTCTGGAGAGTTGCTCAACTTCTGCTAATGCACTGAGGATGTCTCTGTCAAAATCCATGGCTTTCTGCCAGGCGTTGTGAGCTACAGTCACCAGCCCCTCACAGCCAGGTCCTCCACACTTCTTCTGTCCTTCAGCTGTTCGACAGTTTAAACCACCGCACTCGGACTCAGCGCAAGAGGCTCCCGCAGGAGTGCCACACGTCTGCAGAGACACAGCAGATGAGGAAAACAGGCACAGCTTTATTTCTGTTGTGGAGCTGCGAGGGGGGATGGAATTGGACCCTGCTCTATGTTGCTTCTGCCCCTTGCAGTAGCATCCAAGTACCAGAGGGAAGGAAAGCTGAAGTAGAGCTTTAAGCTGGAGGTGGTTCCTGCAGCAGGTCTGTACCAGCATGACTTTAATCTTTCTTGTGCCCTCTGCACCTTCCTGCCTTTAACTCAGTAACAAATATGCAGCTCCTTGATGCTGAAGTAGCTGGAGGTTATGAGGGAAGCCTTGCCTCACTGTCATCATCCACTTTTCCTGTACATCATCTTTCACTGGAAAGCTGCCTTTAAGCTTTGGTTTCAAGCTGGAAGCTACTACTGTCTGTGTGCCTTTTGTTTGCAATCAGTCTTCACTACTGTTGGAGGAAAAACTGGCCAGCCCAAGAAACTATTTTATAGGGGAAAAAAGTGTGTGGTGCACAGCAGTATCTTTTCCTTTGCTCTAAAGCCCTAGAAATGTAATACAAGCTGAAATGCTCCAAGTTGAACGGGAAACTTTTTTTTTTGTCTCTCTTTAAGCTGTCCCATTCCCTTCCACCAAATGTTTGCTCTGATTTCATCTTTCGGGAGCACTTTCCAATTTGTGAATTGTTGTCAAGGATGTATTCCCACAGAAACTTTCAGGGTAGACTTTTTTTTTGAAAGCAAAACTATTTAAATCAGCAACATTGTACTGAGAATTATCCACTACTTGGTCAATTGTTTGGACAATGAATTCACTCAGGAGTTGTTTTAGCCAGAGGGAAAACTGGAAAATTCCCCATTCTTGTGAGTTTCTCTTCCCTTTCCACCCCATCCCTTTTGCCAAATCAGTCACTAACTGAACTACTCTGCAGCCAAAAATCCGCTCTGGGAAAACCGAAGGGCTGTGCCAAGTTAGTGCAGCTGTCTCCTGTGAAGTGTAAATGAGTCCCTCTTACCTGTTTGGCATGCAACCCAGCAGTAGCTAGAAAGCAAAAAAGTTTTTTGGTTTTTTGGGTTTTTTTGGTGTCCTGTGATTACACCTCCAAGCAACTCAGTGTTTACAGCCTTGATTAACATCTACCCAAGATCTGCAGTCCTCAAGAACAGTTAGGCAGGAATGTAGGGGAGGGGAAGCTAAACAAAAAGATGTCTCTTTCTTCCCTCCTGAGAAAAAAGGAGGGCTGGGGGGAGTCGGGAGGGATGACTGTAGTTGTAAAGGACGGGACAATTCAGCATGTGAAGAACTCATCCTCTGCCACAGGCCTGGCCTGCCCAGGGGAGTTAATGAGCAGTCCCCTGCAGCCTGCCTTCTTGTGGGATTGTTCTCTGAATGCAGCTGGCCAACTTCAAAGTGAAACTGAGGGAACACCCAGCCTCTCCCACGAAAAAGCCACCCTTGATCATATTTACAGATGAGCAGGCAGCTTCAACAGAGAAAAATGCCCTTTTGACTCCAGCTCCCTCTAAGTTCTGCTTTGTCTCAAGCACGAGGATGGGAGCACGGTGATGCTGAGGAGGGCAGCCCGCCGGTGTGAATTGAAGTGCTGCCTGGCCAGGCGCTGCACAGGCACGCTGCGTACCCTGTGGAGCCGGAAAAAGGGAGAGAGGAGCCTAGAGAAAGCAAGCACGTGAACTGACAACAGGCTGAAGAGGATGGTGCTCAGTCCAGCAGACTCGCTACGCTTTTTAGCGCAGGGGAGCTCTGTCCACAGCAGAGGGCTTTGGGTTAGAGCTGGGGTGAGGAAAAGATGGGTGCTTTGTCAGGGCTGGGAACATGAAAGGCTGGTGCCTGAAAGCCAGTAGGTCTCAGAGCCCACTGATTAAACAGCCCTGTTCCAGCCCACAAAACACCCTGTCATCCAAGAAACATGCGCTTTTCATGAACAAACTGTATCTCACACTGTCAAGCTCTAAATAGTTCCTCCCTGCCTGCCATTTCTTCACAAACCCAACTTTATTTTTACTACAGGTCTTACACCAGCAGTTCTCAGCTGCGTACCTTCTCAGCCACTTCGGAGAGATCCAGGCTCTGCAGCTTGCCTGCGAGTTCATCCAGAAGGCGCGACTGCTCCTCTTGTTTAGCCTTGAACTGGGCCTCCTTCTCATTGATTAAGTCTTCCACTTCCTGCCGCGTTTGCGCTGACAGCTCCACGGCGCTATCGGGGTGAACAGTGGAGGCATTGACCCTCTCCTCTGCCTCCAGGGACATCTGGAAATACTTGGTGATACTATCCAAGGCCCCTGCAGAAATCAGATGGAGCTGCTCAGAAATGTGTTCAGTAACCCAGAGGAATTTATATTATGGAGGGTGGCAGATGACACATCAGGGTTAGCGATACGAATATCAAGTTAAATGAGCTGCTAGCCTTTGCAGCTATAGTCAGTGCCATTGTAAGGATGATGGAATTTAGCCTGTTGTGGGAAAAAAGTTAATTTTTTTTTTTTTTGCTTGGTTGACAGTGGTTTGCTGGATTTTTGAAGTTAAGCCTTTCTCTGACGCTAGTGACTGAATTCTGCTTGCCCTGAGGGCAAAAGGAGATCCAGCCTTTTAGGTTTATTGGGCAACAGTCTGTTTCCTAAGGATTCGCTTATCCCACAATTCTTGTTGCTTGCCATGGGATGCCTGGCTTATGGAGTCACTGCTTGGAAACTGGTCAGAGCTTTCCATAGAAACAACTGCTTGATGCTGATTTATGGAACTGCTAGTTTTGGACAACTCCCAGAGAGGCCTTGAGCGAGCGTGAGGGATGCTGTGGGGGTGGCCACGTTCTGCACCTCAGGGCAGCTTTCCTCTGCAGAATGCCACTAGTCGGAGACTCCCCCATTCTACATCCTATGTTTCCAGTGAACAATCTCAGACTTCCTGCAAAGCAGGAAATATAAAAAAAAATTTTCTTTGTTTCAAATTGGAATGAAGTCAGCTTTCAAAATTTCCAAATAATTTGGTGACATTCCTCTTTGTCCAGGTATATCTTGGAATCTGCTGCACTTTCAGCTGTTGTGTCTCATCTAAAACATATTAATCAAGAGCCTTTAAGGCAACTCTGTCCCCCAAGAACTTCAATCAGCTTTGCAATGTGCAGAAGGAGAGTGGGTGAGGGGGCAAAACAAAATTCCTCCTGCATCAGCAACTCTGCTAATGCACAGAAAGAAGCTGCCCTCCTAGGAACTGTGTTTTATTACAAGTTAGAAGATTAACCTGATATTTAAAACCATCCACTAATTAAATCTTTGGCCACCCCTCTGCTTTCTCCCCCTGCCTGCAACACTTACCCCGAACATCAGAGATCTTGATGAACTCTAGCTGTTCTGCAAGCTCTTTCACGACGCGGTCTAGGCTTTTGGCATCTGTCTCCAGCGTGCTCAGGTCAGTGTCTGTGCTATTGCTCTTCGCTGCTAAGGCTGACAGGTTTTCTTCTATGTTGGCTATCTTAACTGTAACATCTGTTGTCAGCTTTCTGTAAAACAGAGACATGGGCCTCAACAGGGGGAGGAGGAAGGGTTGTAAGCGTTGGTGCTTCACTTCACTGAAGCGTGGTGGTTAGAGCCATGCAGAGCTTCTCCCATGGCAGGACCTGTCCTCCCTTGGTGGAGCTGTAAGTGATTCGTAACAACATGCCTACCTAGAATACTGTTTTGTTTCCTTTATCATACAAAACTACTTTTTAATCTACAGCACGTTTATAAACTCAAAGCACCAAATTGCTCAGAAAACAGCTGCTTTGTGTAAGATTAACTAGAGGCAGATTCCAGAGGACTGGTGTAATGCTCTTGTATCATGGCAACTGCATAGGTCAGAGTTGACTACTATGATCCATACATAATTTGCTTCCCATCCCACACAGCTACAAATGCAGTTTTGATTACTACAAGCTCATGGGACAGATTTGAACTTCAGGAAGCAGTGGGGGAAGCCTTAGTTTCAATACAATGGATTCTTTTAACTTGTCTGTAAAGATCCCTCCTCACCAGCTGTTTCTCAAGGGCTATGAAGGAAAACCTCCCGCCCTCAGCATTCAGCATGGCCTCAGTGAGAGGCAGAGCAGCTTTAGCTAGTGGGATAACCCTAAAAGGAAAGACAAGTGTATGTTACACATCAATGCTGCTGTGGAACAGAAGTGGGCATAGGAAGCTATTCCCATCCATGGTGCTCCCACCAGTCCCTGTGTTTCCTCACTCTGAAAGAATCAGGCAGTGTTTAAGCTCTGTGATCAATTTACAGCTCGCTCAGTAGCCCAACAGCCTGCTGTTGTCCAGGAGTCCTTCAATGGCCAGTACTACTTCTGTACAGCCAGAGAGGAGCAAGAACAGATACATACATACACACACACACACGTGTTAGGGAAAATCAGCTCTCTGCTGCTCTGATTTCCCTCAGTACACACAGAGCCCAAATGCAGCAGCACTCTCCAGTTGGAGGGGGGAGCTGCAGGGCACAAGCATATCCCTAACTGAGACATTTGTGTTTTAATCCTTGCCCCTTTGCTTTGTGCAGTCCCCTTTACAATGCACAAGCAAGCTCAAGCAGTAGCACACAGGGCTAGAAAGCATCTGTAATCCTACTTGATGTTAAACTACCCCATTTCCAAAAGAACAAACTACCGTCTTTTGTATGCTTAGCTGTAAAACAAAAAATACAAGGCTCCTACCCTGAGAAAAATGGAAACAATCCTTGTTATAAAGCTGGTGCTTCCCCCCCCCACATGCTCAGAGTGCAGAAAGGAGCCCAAGTTTCCAACTCATTGGCTACACACGGAAATCCAGGAATTTAATCTCTCCCCTCTTCATTCTCTCACATAATAGCAGTGTTTGTCCTTTGCCCTGGGGGAGTGCAAGGCAAGCGTGAGTGGCTCCGTGGTAATTAGCTGCCTGGTGCGCAGTGAGAGCAGGACAACCCTTGCCCAAAGCGTGGTAGCTGTGCTGCTCCTACCTTCCCTGGCCAGGGACGGACGCTCGCTGTGGGCGCTGAGCATGGTGAGGTGCTCCACCAGTGCTGGGAGCTGCAGCACAACTCACCCAGCTGGAAGAGCAGAGCTGGGTGCCCTCAGCTCAGCATGAGGACATCAGTCACTCAAGTAAATCCCAGCTCCCTGGCACTCCTACTCCTTCCCACGCTAGACTTATCCATATAACTGTGACTATACTCACTCTGCTTCCTCAAAGAGATTCCCAATGTTCTTCAGGGGCTCAGCAGCTGGATTTTGAGCGATGATGGTTTTAATTTCACTGAGCTTCTCCTCCAGGGTGTTGAGCGTCTGCTGGTATGGGCCAGTGACTCCAGTGATTTTGAGGGCATTAGCCCTATCCAGGAACTGCTGGGTCCTGTTAGCCAGCTCACTGATGATCACGTCCCAGAGGGCGAAGCACTGGTGGCATGGCACGCAGTTGGGGAAGAAGCCCGAGTAGCCCCGGGAGCACTTGTCGCAACGTGGCCCTTCCACCCCTTCATTGCAGACGCACTGCCCAGTGGCACGGTCGCATTGTGGGGTCTGGATGCCTCGAGGGTTGCAGTCACAAGCTGGAAGGAGAAAAAGGCATGTGTGAAGGCTACAGTGAGGGAAATGATGTTGACATTGGCAGGGAGGAAAAAACAAAATTCAACCAGTTGTAATGAAGCAGGGAAACGAGTATCAAAAAGTGGTGTGTGTCTAGATTATAATCAGCTAATTATGTCTGCTTGGGTATGGGGGAACCAGGGCTGAGAGTGACAGAGGAGAGACAAGGAATAACTCTGGGGAGATCAGGATTTGCACATCTCAGAAATGTGCACAATAATGGAGCATGGATGGACACTTCTTGGAATGCTTGGATGTTAGTTGGACAGCAATTGAAGACAAAGATCCCAGTTTTACTCCTACAATGAAGAGTAAGTAGAGTAAGGCTTTCCAGATCGGAAAAGAAACAACAGGCAGGCATATAGCAGAGGGGTTTCAGAGCAAAACATGAATGAAATGGAAAAAGTGAACAAGGAACAACCATTTACTGTCTCCTCCAGCACAGGAGTAGGGGGTCAACTGAGGAATCCAGCAGATGAGAAATCAACCACCCTCCCCCTGCACCTCCCACAAACAACACAATGAAAGGAGATAGTTGATTACACAGCACTTAGTTAAGTGGCAGAGCTCCCTACCACAAGACACTGCGGGTGCTAAAAGCTGAGGTGGCTTCAGAGAAGATGACAAATTCATGGAGTAACAGCCCTTGAGAGGTCTTCTGTGCAGAGGTACAGGGCCTGGCTCTGCCAGGTACGGAGGAAGAGGGAAGTCTTCAACACTGGTGGTAACAATCAAGAGCCTACACACTGCTTGTGACCCTCAAGGGGGAATGAGGACAATTTACAGATTTTTTTTTTTTTTTTTTTTAATTATTTCACACTTTGAGCACCAAATCAGGAGGCAGTATTCATGCCTTCCTGAAATGGACTTTCATTCTTATTTTATTTTTGTAACTGTGAACACCTACTTATCTTTATATGCTAGGCAGGTAAGACCCAGGGGCTCCGGGTGGTTGCCAAATTGGAGTGATAAGGTTTGAGCAACACCCTTTTTTAACGAGCTGTTAGAAGAAAGATGCCCTTCTTTGGACTAACGGACCATGAACAGAAGTTACTCAACTAACATAGTGATGCACAGTCACTTCTAAAAGCACACACTCTGTACACAACAGTGCTATCAGCTATCAGGAGAGGTCTTTCCATGCAGCAGGGCTGCCACTTGACCTCTCCTCCTCCTTAATTACGCAGGCAGCAGCAGACGAAATTACCAACCTGCAAAGCTTTTAACGAAGGCATGGCAGCAAAGAACAAAAAGAGATGCCTTGCAAATAGGCAGGTTGTCTACCTACCATCCTGACAGAGAACACCCAAAGCAGGTCAAGCACACATTCCTTGAACAGGAAAAGGATTGCAATACCTGATAAAAGCCTTCACTTACACATCCATTTACCAGGCATCCTTGAAGGAGGTTAATGGTTCAAAAAAGTCTATAAATCAATTCACACACCCCAAGCACATGCCCCCTTGAAAAAAAAAGGGCAAAACACAAAGCCGTTTTCAAGATTGTACATTGTTTGCTTCAATGCCAAAACACAGCGGCGGTCTTCAGTTCAAAAATTACACAAAGAGCCTCAGCAGAACAAATCGCTCCTCAACAAAATGACTTTCTTGTACAATGTGAATATGATAGGCAAGAGACAAAAACAACTTCTGCTGCCTGCACAATTGAGCAAAATGGTCCTTTGTTCTTTGAATTATACCCTGACACAAGAGATTGTTTTTACTTTGCATCGAAAGTGCTTAAGTAGTCAACTCACCAGGACTACGTTACCTGCAGGCAAACCATCAAGTTCCTGTTAGAAGGAGGTCAGTTAACCCTTCTGTCAAATAATAAGGTCCTCATATAATGATGAATTGTCCAAATTCCTCTGCATAAAAAGAGGCTAAATGGCATGTGGGTTTCCTCAAAGATCTTGATATCTGATCAAGTTACGTAAATGCTTGCTGCTGGCAAATCAGCTCACTCTATTTACTTGCGAATTTAAAAAGCTTACAGTGAAAAAAAACCCAAAAAACCCAAACCAATGCATGTTGGTAATTCTACTCCTGAATACCTGGATGTTCAGGAAAGGCAGACGATGCGGCTTTAGCAGCATTTACATGGTAATGTGGATTCCAAAATCTCTGGAACCAGAAAATGCTGGGGAAGGGAAGAGGAGAATTTAAATACTAGCTCATTTGCAAAGTGAAAACCCAAACTCCACAGTTGCCTGTTGGGAGATGATAAAGAGCAAAGAAGTAATTTATTCTAAATATAGCACAACAGTTGGAAGAATCATCACATTTCTAGAATTCTACAAAACTTTCAAACTGAGCTTTGTGGGACCCACAAGAAAATTGTAGAAGGCGGCTAGAAACAGTATTGTGGGTTATTTGTCCGGATATTTATTAGGATTCTCTATCAAGCCCAGAAGCAGGCAATGCTGGCTCTGCATTACTTCAGTAGTGTGAATACAACATATACAAAATGGCTTTCAAAAGGGCTGGTTTCACACTTACTCTTTCTTTTCTTCATGATCTTCCAAAGCCATTAACTGTGCACAGGACCACACCAGCTTTCAAACCAAAAGGTAAAAACTGAAGATAATTTTATCCCTAAGTAAAATCATAAAGTCTAAAGGAAAACAAGAAAAAGCCTCCGTCAGAACTGGAATAAGAAGATTCCAGTAGATTTTATTTTCTTTCCCTTTTGAAAATTTGGGAGGCATTGGTGGTACAGTCTCTCTAGCTACAGCCTTACTCCTTACTGTGGCAGAGACTGAAACATTTCTTAGATTCTCACAAAAGCATCACGGCTCCTCTTACAGCTCACATCCTGTGAGCAAACCTTTCATCATCTCACAAATGACACGTGCATGCCAGTGTTTGGTTACATACGATCTTCTTTTTTAGAGTCTAGATGACCTTAGCCAAGCGCTTCAGCCACAGCTGAAATCATCTCTCTTCCTCGCTAGAGTCAGTCTCTCAGGGCTTCTATAAGATGCTGGGTTTCAATTGCCGGACATGGCATTAATAACTAAATTTGGCCAGCCAGAAAGCCACAGAGCCTGCTCTTCTGCCCTCCAAGGCCACGTGGAACAGGACCTCCACCATCTCCAGTGCCTTTAGCAGAGGAGTCCTGTATCCCGTGGCCACCACCAACATGCTATTTCACATCCTGGCACGGAGCGCATCCAAGGCCCTTGCAGAGAGCATCGTCCCTTTACAGCATGGTGAAGATCAAACCTGCAACTGACTTCAGCTGTGGTGATTTCTCAAGAGGAGGTAAGCAAGCCTTGGAACCAGATCATATAAAGCCTTCTAGGTAGCACAGAGTGCCTTGACCACCATGGGCAAGCAGGCAAATAGCTCCAGGATGCATGAGAAAGGAAAGGAGGACCTCCCAGCTGGTGCAGACTGGAAAAGGCTAGCTACGGATTGGCAAATAGCTCATGGCAGAATAACCGTGCGCCAAGTGACACATCCATCATTCATGATCATGGGTGCACATCCACCAAAGGCTTCATGTGATATTTGATTATCACTGTCAATGAACTGGGATGTGAAACCAGAAGATGCCTTGGTTCCCATCACCTGCTAGAAACAGAGCAAACTGTGCCAGAACAAACCAGCATGCCATGCCCAGCATCAATTTTGGCCAAAGTACCCCAGCATCACATCTAGCCACATCACATCTTGCCCCTCTATCACCTCCTTCCTTGATGTCCAACTAGTCCTATGGCCACCATTTTAGCCAACTCCTGTGCAGTCCTGTGCTAATGATGCTCTCTCTTACAACAGTTTTGCTTCTGATGTACTCAAACAGGCTAATGCAAACACAATCTTCAAGCTATACCTTGGCTCTGGAGATTTCAGCTCTAACCAACCAGCACATTCCTAAGTCTGATATTACACTTGAGTAGCTATACCACATCTAATTTTAGCATATGCCTGGTTTATCTAATTTTCCCCAAGAAGAACAAGAAGCACATCTAGGGATGCAGAAGTGTTTCAGATACTATCCAGTAGCTAGTGCTGGCTTTGTACTCCACCTAACATAGTATCTGTGGAATAGGCAAAAACATAATGCCCTGTAAGCTCTTTTTAAATGCCTTGCCTACGCTTACGTGACTAGAAATTTGGAACAGTGGTTCATTTTGCACTGTAAAACCACACAGATGCTGAGTTTACTGCGAGACATTTAGATGCCTTAACCAGTTTGGGTTGGAAATGGCCTTCAGGACAAATGGTGGATTATTCTCCCTTCCTACAGAGGAGCAGACGAAGGCCAGGGTGAAGGGCTGCAAGTTAACACAGACTGGGCTGCTTGCTTTGAAGATCAGTTAGACAGGGATCAAATCTGTCCCCGGGTAAGCAGAGCAGGACACTGCAGTACCTCCCATGGAAAATACACAGGGGAAAAGAAGTTTTTTGAAAGCATTGGTCAAAGATCTGAGGGTTTTCAAAGGAGCATTTAGTAAGTTAAACAATAGGTTTCTGTTTCGAAATGTCTGGTTGTATTGTTTTCTTTAATTGAGTGTTTAACTCAATCAGACATTCTTCTGTGGCATACTCTGACTTAAGCAAAATCGCATTTTTAACAGCAAAATCTTCTAGCCAAATTCTTTAGTCAAGATCTGCTGATTAGCAGCTTAGGACTACAAAAGAGTGTAGCTTCATCTATTCACAAATGCATGTGCACACATGCACACACACCCAAAGAGTATCCATGAGTAACTTTTATACCACCTTGATCAATGGATTTCTCTTCCAGTAATGTTTTTTCCAGATCTTAAAGATAAAAGTAACACTCATATACGTTTATTGAATGTAGTCTTGTAGAAATCTAAAGGGAGACATTCCAAAGTAGTAAATGACTAGCTTGAGTGGTTTGCTTCAAGCTCACAAGGCTCTATGAACCACTTTATCTTTTACTTACTCTGACAGCTCTGCTACCTTTCCCTCTGGTTTTAAATATTTAGAACTCACTTCCATTTGAGCTACTGTAATTTAATACGTGGCATATTTGCATATCACTTAATTTAAATGAAGGTGTGTCAGAGCAGTGGATACTACAGCTGAGATGATTTAATGGACACTGAAAGGGCTGTATGAAGATCAGTCTCAGTGTTTAATGCGTTATTGCAGGATGCTAGGAACAAGCAAGTATCATACATCATCCCACACAGAACAGAAACAATTTTTGCAGAAATATTTTCTTTACTGCTTGAGATCGGGGATGGAGAGCATCAAATGTTTAACTCCTCCGCAGCAAAAAAAAAAAAAAAAAAAAAAACAAACCAGCGGGTTTGTTTAAACATGATTTCTTGGCATCATTTCCCAGTGGTAGTGAGGCACTATGATGATAAAACCATTCAGCAATTTGTAAGGTTGAAAGTTTTGCAGAGCTAGCAAATTTCTGAATAATCAGCTATTGATTCAAATCACCCTGTAAACATATTGCTAACGCCTCAGCGTTATGATTTTCAGTACAAGTGTTAAGATCCCAGCCTAGAGTTGCTAGAGTTGTGCTGCATTTTAGTGTATTAGCAGACCTTGCCAAATGGGCAATTTTCCGGAAACAATCAATATACATTATAATATTTTAAGACCACAGATCAATTGAAATTATGAAACTCAAAGTGAAAATTGTATTTCCTTTAGTGCAGAATTTGTCTGACTTCCTTTAGACACTTAGCACAGAAGGAGAAGAAACATCTGCTAATCTTTCTCTCTGCACCATAAACACCTCCTCTAAAAGCAGCCTACGTGACTAGTTTAAGACCCAGGTGTTAAATTATGATTACAAAGCCTATTCTTAAATGGCAATGGAGTAATTTTCAGTGAACAGATGCTTCGGCACCAGGTACATAACAAAGACTAAAAACTGAGAAAAACAACTTTCTGCCAATGGTTGCAATGAGTATTTGATAAAAACATGACTTCTTTCATCTTAGTTCAATTAAATTCTGTTTTTTACAATAGGGCTTGATAACCAAGTCCAGCACAGAAAAATATTGACAAAGGTATGCTTCTTGTAAAGGGAAGACAGCATTACAACCTAACTTTCAATCTCATACAGTGCCTTTTACTAACTGCACTCTTTTCTGTTTGTTCAATTAAAACAGCAACGATAGCAAAATTGTCATCTTCTGGATATTATATGAAACACATAAGCTTCAAATATCTACTGTGCAAGGGCATTGTTCGAGCTGCCTCTGCAGCCACACCGTACCTCAGAGGCTTCTCGGGAGCCTGGAGCCTCCTGCCAGAAAAGTTCTTTGTGGGCTGAAGTCAGCGCAGAGCTCAGCACGCCCAGTCCTGTACTGTGGTTGCCAGGCTTTGGAAAAGCTCCAGCAGAATGCCTGGGAGACTCAAGTTTGATGAAATTTGTAATCCTATTATTTACTACCTTAGCAAGGATTTTTATTTACATGCACACATTCACGTGCAGGCTCGTGTAGAGCTGCGTATAGCTCGTAGCTGAAGCAACAGCCAGAAGAGTCCTGCTGGCACTGGCCCCCGAGCAGACGATGCTCACTGTAATCCTCACAGGGACCTGCACAAGGCCAAGACACACACACACTGGGCTTTTCCCTATCCTCTAGGCCTCTCCTGTGCTTGTTTCAGGCATTATGCTAAATTAAATGAGTAACTGTTGTGCTTTTTTGAAGTATGGGGTAAGCAGTCTCTGAAGACCCAGTCCTACAGACTCTCTGCGGTGTGTAATCACCAACGGACCTCTGTGCGTGGTGGGAGCATACTCAGTACCAAGGGGTCGAGATGCTGCCCAAACATAGGCATCTACCTTAGCTTGCCCCAGCAGTCTGGTCCCATGGGAACATGCAGAGAGGAGACATCAGATGATGCTTTCTCTCCACTGCAGGGAGCACAGACTGGAAATCAAAGCACCACCCAGATTAGGTGCAAAAACCTGCCTTCCCCAGCTTCTGCTTCACCATCTCCAATATTACTAAGACTTCTACAAAACAAGTCACAGGCAGCAGCCTGCAATGGTCACCACCACTGATGCGTGCCCTGGAGTCCAGCTTCCAGCAGAGTGTGCTGGGACGCCGGGGCCACATCCACAGCTCGGTGCCACTGCAAGTGCCTGGAAAACCATGGGGGATGTGACCCCCAGCCCATCCTAGATGGTCCATTTTGTACATCTCCACACAGCTGTCTCCAGAGGTTATTTGCAGGCACTTGTGTTCACATGACCTCATTTTTTTTTTAAAAACTAATTAAAAAATTTGTAAAGGGTGTCGCAGCAATGTGGGCAGTACAGTCCTCATTTCTCAACAGGAGCTCGTGTCTCTCGGTGCCAACAGCCTGAAGACCTCTTGTGAAGAGATCACACATTACCATCCCTTGAGTGATGCACCCTGTGATTTCCAAGCTTGAGCAGAAGCCACTTGCCCCAGCCAGTGGAGAATCCCACCCTGGAGTCATCAGGACTGATGTCCACACCTCTGCATCAGCTCGGTGCCTGCAGTAAAGACTGTCCATCCATACTCAATACGGTTCAGAGCTCTTGCCGTTGCCTATCCAGATTGGTTTGTACTTTCTTCCTGAACACAGCACAAAATGTGGCCATATTGGCTGCTTGGGCCAGCACGAGCATGCCGCTGAGGGCACGTGGCAAAAGCCATGGCCAGGAGTCCACGTGTACCCCTGCAGCTGGAGCAGACGTTTCTGTGATGAATCCCCATCTCAGTTCCAGCTTCACCTTGGCTGCAGGCCATATTTAAGCTATTTTCAAGGGGCATTGCTCTCCAACTCCTTAAACGGCAGTTTTCCAGTTCGCCTGCAAACCACTTGCCACTGAGAGCTGCTACCTGCCCATGCGGCAGCTGCACGCCCACCAGCCTGACCGTCACCCCCGCCACTCGCCAGGACTAAATGAGGGCTGAGAAGCCACTTCTCTCCCTGCCAAGGAAGGATGGGATACAGGGCGGGAGGCACTGACACCACCACACTGGGTAGACTCGGCAGTGCCGGATTTGCTCCACGAGTGAGCGCGTGCTTGGAGCTCCCCTGGGAGCACCACGGGCTGCCACAGCCCAGTCCTGACCAGTCTCCGCACCTGCCACAGAGACCTCCTGTTGGATGCAGTCCTGAAGGAAAATCTGCATTTCCGCCAAGTGAGTCTCCCGTGTCACACTTGGAGGCAGAAAGGGCAGCAGGTAGGAAGGAGAGTGTAGAGCTTGCAGGGTGAAAACAGGCTCTGCAGAATATATCTTCCCTTTACTTCAGATATATTAAAAAGCAGGTTTTCACATGCTCAGAAGACAACAGAAACTCCATGAGAGACCAGCTGCAAAATCCTGCTGATAAGGTATGCAGATGGACTCCATCAATAAACTCTGATGGAGACAGCTGATACCAAGAGACAATCCCTGCCTTGGAGCTGGCAGGGTCAGCACCCCTGACCACGCCAGAACACACACAGCCTCCCCGAAAGGCTGCCTTACCCCCCCCCCCCCAATGTACTCAGGAACTGGGACAATTCCCCAGTCCTTTTCATCTACTGCTTTAACCAAGTAGCTGTGACCTGTCTATCTGGTTAGATAATGGGCTCTAAGGTATCTCTATTGTAAGGGATTTATTAAAGACCACAGCAAGCACATTCCTCCCTGCAGGAAAAAATACCTTAATCTACTGCAAACCCCCCTGGCAAAGGCTCCTATTTGAACAGATCAGAGATACAAGTTTGTTCTGGTCTGGACAGTGTTTGAAGTTTCTTTTCCAGCTAATGAACAGACTTGTTTATAATGAAAGGACAGCGAGCATCCAGTTTTCTAAACAAGCGACTTCACGGTGCTCTGTTTTGCAGCATGTAGCTATGGCTAACCTGCCACACTGTCTCTTTATTTTCATCTGAAATACAACGAAAGTCTCCTACTAAATCAAAAATCTTATTTCTTCAGGCTCAGTCTCCCTAACAAGACACAAAAGGAACACAGTGGTCTTCCACTACATACAATTGAAAGGCAAAGGAAAGTGGTTTCCAAACCAATTCTCAAACCCAAACACTTGCAATATGTTTTCTTACCTGTCAGGCTTACCTGACTGCATTGCAACCTAACGGTTAAAGAGTTAGTTTCTAAACAGGTTTGCTTCTAAATAAGGGTCTGACAAGAAATAAAACAAACCAGTCAAGTGCCAGGTCGGGCTCCTCCCAGGCCTCCTGTCCCTGGAGGCACCAAAACCCTGGGGACGGATCCTGCCATGCCTTCTTCCTTCATTTCCAAGGCTCATGTGGGCACTGGCAGGGGTCACTGGAGGGACTGCTCCCGGCAGGGGTGTCCCAGCACAGCGGGGGGTGATGGCGTGCCCAGTCACCAGCTCATTTCCAAAAGGAGCTGGTGGAGCAGATGCTGGGCTCGGACTTACCTTGGCACTCCACGCTTGGATCACCCCAGAAGAGCTCCTGGCACTCCCGGCAGGTCCGGCCTCCAAAGCCTGGCATGCACTGGCACTGCCCTGTGAACTGCCAAGGAAAAGCCCAACAGGGGATGTGACCACCTCAGCAGCTCGGCCCCAAGCCAGAGCCAAGGCGAAGCTGCCGGAGCATTCCCTGCGCTCCCCTCACCTCGTTGCAGGCAGGTCCAAGGGAGCGTGCGGTGTCGCAG